CCATTTCAAGAGGGATGTGGACAACATGGAGAGGGTCCAGAGGAGGGCCACTCGTATGATCAGGGGGCAGCAGGGCAGGCCCTACGAGGAGAGGCTACGGGACCTGAACCTGTTCAGCCTCCACAAGAGAAGGCTGAGGGGGGATCTAGTGGCCTGTTACAAACTAGTCAGGGGTGATCAGCAGGCATTGGGGGAAGTCCCTGTTCCCCCGAGCACTGCCAGGAGTGACCAGGAATAACGGTCACAAGCTGGCAGAAGGTAGATTCAGACTAGATATCAGGAGGCGCTACTTCATGGTCAGGGCGGCTAGGATCTGGAACCAACTTCCAAGAGAAGTGGTGCTGGCTCCTACCCTGGGGATCTTTAAGAGGAGGCTAGATGTACACCTTGCTGGGGTCGTTTGACCCCAGTAATCTTTCTTACCATGGCAGGGGGGTCAGACTGGATGATCTACTCAGGTCTCTTCCGACCCTAGAAACTATGAAACTACAATGCTGAATCCTGCACTCGAACTTTTGCGACCTTTCAGCTGAAGAGGGAAGTGTAAAGAAGGTAATTTTTGGTTTGCTCCCCGGTGCGCTGAGTCAGCTAGGCTCAGCCTCTGTCCCATCAGCGCTGCTTTATCAGTCTAGTAGCTGTGGGCATGAAGGGCTCATCTTGCGCGGCCAGTCTGGCCGCCAAGGTGCCTGCTCACAGCTGCAGCGGCACTGCCTCCATGCCGCTGTCCAGCCAGCCACCACCTGTGAATGCTGGGGCTCCCAGGACCCTCAGGGCATATGCCTTGCTCAGCCTCTTCAGCCTTGCTGCGGAGCTGCTTCATGCATAGGCTGCCCCATGCTGCCTCCTCGGCCAGCTGCAAGTTCCTCATGCTGCTGGCCAGGCATGGGGCTTGCTCCTGCTCTTGGGTCGCCACTACTACCCCTGCCCCCAGCCAGGCACACACATAATCCGCCTCCTCCCACCCACCTGGATGAGCAGACGGACGTGGCTCTAGAAATACTGCTGACTGACAAAGCACTTTATGTACCTTTTCAGAAAGATGAGAGAAGGAAAAAATTAAAATGAAACCAGAGTAGAAATTGGAATCTCAGACAGATTGGAATTTTTGGTGCATTTTTAGGACAATTCCTAATTTGAACTATGCTTAGTAGCTTAGTGGTGAAAATCCTTAATATTATAGCCCATTCTGTTAAAAGGACCATATCTCTGTTTTCCCTTATCATGGTATTTGGATATCTACCAAACTGTAACCATAATGAGACTGTCAGATACATGGATGTCATAATTTGTGTCTGCTATTAGTTATACATGCTAAGGAGCCATAACTACTTAGTGCCATGCCCCTTAGGTCAGTGTTTCTCAACCTTTTAAACAGCAAGTATCCCTTAACTTCTGAAAATTTGAAAAAGTACCCCAACACTCAATTTTCCAGGGGAAGCCAGAACTGTTGAGTAAACAGAACCCCAGAAGTCAACCTGAACCTTATACACTTGGTGCTGATGAAATTCATGTCCTGTATATATTTTTTGCTTACTGAACTGTTGCTTGAACAATAATCAATGTTGTTGTTTTCCTCTTAATTGTTCCTTTGATAGTCATGTGTACAAACATTCTGAGAGTAAGGAGCTAAGGTAGTTTGTCAATCTGCAATATAACAGCCATTCATTCTGCTGTTAAAGCACTACAAGTCCATACAGAATGTCATCTGTTATATGTTTTAAGTCAGTATTTAGAGAGAGATTTTAGTGCAAAGTCTACCAAATGTAGGACATCTGAATGTGTGTTTCTGACATAGTAATGAACTAACGGGTACTTAATTTTTACTTGGTATTAACAACATTAAAAATGGAAATGTTGTAGTATGTTTCTAATTTACCATGAGCTACGATCTTAATTTTGTTGCTCTGACTCACCACAGGTACTACAGTTGTGCTAATGTTGTGGTGTGAGCAGACTAACAAAGCCAGCACTCTCTACTTGCATATTAATGAATACTGATTGTACTTAGTTAAACACAATAAGACAAAGAGACTATGACATAAAAAAAATTACACATAGAAATTCTTTAGGCCAGGTAGATATACAATGACTAGAGATTAAGCTAAAACTACAATAACACAGACTAACACTAGAGAGAAGCAACAGACAGGAAACAGAAGTGGGAGTCAGAAGATCTGGGTTCAATTCCCAGCTTTACTAATGCCTACTGATAAATAAATGTTATATAAGAGCTAGATGTTATTACTGCATTATATTAGTGAATGGTGCACAGTGCTCTATCTGCAACAGCGCCAGGAATTTTACTTTGCCCTCATTTCCAGGAAAAGAATATTTGCTTATCCTGCTATAACTGTGTCCCTTTGTTTGATGCAGTGTGGACCTGCTGGAAGGTACATGTGTGCACCAAACTTGTGCCTTTTAACAGTCATGTCTGTCAGGGCTGAATATGCATTCTGTGCTTCTGTGTGACACAGATATACCAGATTGGCTGTGACCTTTCTTCAGCTGTCCCCCCAGTTCAAAATCTTCTGAAGATGGAAGACAGGTTGTTAAATCTACACTGATTACAATATACTGAGGAACCACAATTACTACAAAGTACTGATATTTCTTCTTCCAGCACACGTCAGCATAGATTCCCTCAGAAGGCTGGAGCAAGGTGTTCCAGTTGCATCTGTCAAAGAGGAATTTAGGACTATATTCCCAGGTTTGGCATCTACCTTAGTAGATAATATTTAAGCTACTCCATCTGACTGCCTTACAGAATGTTAGAAGCTGGCTCATTCCTGAAGCAGGTGGAGGATATGGATTAAGGCTTGATTTTAAGTAGTGAAAGAACTCCAGTCAGCTGGTAAAAGTAAGTGATATACTATGTTATCCACTTTGGTATTCTCTCTCATTAAACTGTGTGACCTTTATGAAGGCCAGATATAACCAGAAATAAATAGGGAGTCTATCTGAATGCCTTGATCCTGCACTGTAATAAAGCAAAGCTCTGGAAATACCCAGAATATGTAGCCTCTACTTTACTATTACAGAATGGGATTTCGGGAATAGGATCCATAGGCTGAACAACTGATTTAGATGAAATTCTGCGACCATCTTAGGAAAGCACTTCAGGCAAGGTTTCAGCAGCGCCTTACCATTAAGGAATGTTGTGTAGATATTAAGCTCCAGCAATAAGTGCCTGGAGCTCACTGATTCTGCTGGCTTAAGTGATAACATTTACGAGGACAATCCTTAGAGTGAGACCATGTTAGGAGCATTCAAGAGAGGATCAATCAGAGGTTCCTTAGGCCTAAAATTGACTATATTTAGATTCCACATAGGAATAGGCTCTTTGACTTGTGGGCAAGTTGGTAAAGGGCCCTTTAATAGCTGCAAAATATAACTGCATGAGAAAAGATTGAGCATGACTGCACAGAGAGATGACAAGCAGCCTTGTGTAAAGAGGACCTTGGTAGAACTGAACAAAAGACTTGCCTGTGTAATAAGCAGTCAAGTATGTTACATACTGAGGCCAGCTAGTACTTTATATACTTTTGGTCTTTTGGTGAGTATATGTTCATGATTAATATCCTGCCTGTTCTGTACTAGGCTATTTTGAACTTGCCTAGTGCAGGATGCTGTGATCTGCGCTAATCAACTCTGATATATAAGTCATGATGCTGTGAAAACAAAACAGAGTTGCAGATTTTTTATATAAGTTAATTGTAAAACAAATCTGAAGTTCTAAGGACGGTACATAGTTGGATATTTATGGGTTTCCATTTTGCTGTCATTAATGGCACTGGGGAAATGAGGGAAGATTGTGGCCATTCTACCTTATGCTTTTGAGGAAGAGCACAAGGAGACATGCAGTGAACACTGATGAACACTGTTATTCAGAGGACTATACTGATAATTTAACCCACTCTATTATGGTATCCATCGTGACAGAGATTTGAGAAAGTGACTAAATATATGGAAATATACTAGGCATCAGTTTACCCTTTGCTCAACATATTCTATGTAAGAATAGCACAAAAATTTACAGAATGTTTTAAAATACGAGGTGTGTCAAAGTCAACCACTACAGATACAAGCCTTGCTTACATAAATTTATTTTTGCTGTACCTTACATT